GCTTGAATTTCACTACTCTTTCACGGGGTTCTTTTGCATTTTGTATAATATATATAAAATATATTATATATATATAATAATATATATAATATAATATAATAATATATATATATATGTATGTATGACAAATCACGAAATTTTTTGGGAAATTTTCACTCTTTTTTCAGAAAAAAAAAAATATTTTGTTTTTAATATATAGCAAATATTTTGGATTACAAAACTGTCATTTTTAAATACCAGAAACAAAATTTGAAATTTTTTGTGCAATATGCTTGGGGAAGAGATTTTCCCACAATTTCGGTTGGCTTAGATTTAGGGGGAAGTAATTCTTTTATCATTAGTCCAATATATAAAATGGCCTGTTCCATACATAAATGACAAAGCGCGGTTTCTTGCCCTTTAATATGCTATTTTTGCTGGTTAACCTGGTCTTAAGAGTTTTTCCTGTTTCCCCAAAATAAAAGGGTAAAAAAAATTTTTACATAGGAGGAGTATATGCAAGCTGTTTACTTCGAAATTTTTAAAAAAATTTTTTTATTTCAAGGTTTTAAACATACTAAAGACAACTGTAACGTTAAAGTATTTAAGAGTTTGGGGAGGTGAGAGAGATTTTTTGAAGGTAAACCTAACAAATTCTCAAGCTTTTTCTAAAGGATTAAGCTCTTTTTATAAAAAAATTTTTTTTTTAGCTTTATAAAAGCTTTATCAATAAATGTTCTTGGGATATTGCAAATCAAAGCAATTTCATAAATTTTTCTTATTTCCTATCATAGAAATTAGAATACAAATCCTATGGGATCTCAGAAACATAGAACTAAATACACTCTGTTTAATGTGTTTTTTGGTAGTCCCTTTCCTCGTGTTTTTTGCTGTCTACCAACCTACTACCTACAATAATATTATAATATATATATATAATATATAAAATTATATAAATATAATATTTTAAATTTATATATATAACATATGTTATGGGCTTGCCTAAAATACAGCGAAAATCCCCGACCTTTTTTAATGGGGAAATTTTTTTTCAGCTTTTCCCCATAGTGTCATCTAATTCCTGAACTTTTTTGAAAAAGATTTACATAGGCAAAAAGAAATTATAGTTTTTTTTTAACTCAAGCTGACATACCTATTATACTTCTCTTTTGAAAAATACTTTGATTTATTTAAAATACAGACGATATTTCGAAAATATTAAAACTATATACTTAACAGCACATTTCGGGGGGGACAATATTTCAATCCATACAGTAGGCTTGTGTGAGCGTGCTAGAAAAAGTGCGGGGAAGCAAGTGGATTTTATGATTTGAAATGTTTTTTTAAGAGTTCTGGAGGGGGAATAAAATTCTGCACAAAGGTGATGAGGATTGCGCTTCGGGTAAAGTAACTGAATGAATTACGGTTTTTTTCCAAAGTAATTCGTCAACTTCTGATCGCCTCACCCTATAAATTTTTAAGTTTTCAACCATACTAGCTAAAATTTTATGGGAAACCTCTAGGGAAAGAATTGTCAGTGTGGAGGTACTCTTCTCAACTGTACATAAGTCACCCCAATTTTTTTTCAAGGGGTTTTCGCTTCAGAAAGTTTCTTCGGGTCCAAAAAACGTTAGACATCATATACCTCCCTGGAAGAAGTTTGTCTTACAAGTGGGTTGTGTAGGGCCTTTTTTCCCAGTTTTAATTTCGAAATGGGGGATGGGGTTTTTTCCTTAAAAAGCTGAAATGCCTCTTCTAAAAGGGTTCAGTCTTTTAAAGGCTGTCAAGTTTTTTGAAAAAAATGTAACTTTTTGAGGGGGTTTTTTTTTTTTTTAATTTTGTTCTATGAAACTCAAACTAAGGAACCTGGGTGCTCACCCCTGTCCCCTAATCTCAGTTTTGTACCAAAAGATTTTCAACCACATATATACACAATGTGTTTTTGAAACCCTCTAAAGTGCGGCACTTTCCTTTTTTCAGTTTTAAAATGAGTGACGGGAATACCAAACGAAGCAATCATTAAAAAGGTCTTTGACTGCTTTTTGGGGGTCTATGGTGGCCCTGGCGGCCTCGTGGGGAGTCCACCGGAAGCCCGGGGTTCTGTAAGGCCTTTGGCGGTTCTTTCGCTGTCGGTCGGATCTAGCGGCCCCAGTTGGCCTTCACGGCCCGGCACTTCTGGCGGCCTCTGGCGTCCTCTGACGGGACTAGCGCCTCGGCGGTCTCAGGACCCCGGGGGGCTTCTGCGGCCTTAAGGCTTCTGGGGGCCCTCTGGGGGCCCTTTTTGGGGGCCTCTGGGGGCTCGGGTACCTCTGGGCTTGGGGCGGCCTCTGGGGGCCTCGGGGGCCTCTGGCGGCGTCATCGAAATTTTCCCCTCCTACATTTATTGCTCGGGAGAGTCCCTGAGAAATATCACTACTTTATATCAAAAGGCTGGGAATTCGGGCCGCGCTTGGACAAACAAATGGGTTTTTGGCACATATTGGGAGTCGTTAAGGTTCACTTTAATTTCCCGGGGGGGGGCTCCATTTTAAAAAGGTTACCACTGGCACCGATGCTTTTCTTCAATCGGGCTCATTTTGCACTATATTGCCCAAGCGGACCGAAACGTCGTAAAAAGCTTCACTCCCCTATGTGTATTGTTCCATCACTATGGGGTCCCTTTTTTTTTTCAGAATGCTCGTCATTACCTTTAGACCAGTATACCAAAACATTTCGTTATATGTCGGATTTGGGTTTTGTATTGGATTAGGTCAGACGAACCGTCACTAGTATATATCTGATGAAAAATTTAACACAGTGCAATCTTGGGTATCTTTATTGGGGAAACGTTTCGCCACAGTGGCTTCATCATCCATACGTAGGAAAACTTGAAGAACAGGGGAAAGAGATAATCACCCCCTCAACCTTGAGTCATGTGTTATCCATCAATCTTGAAATAAAAAAGGCATATAGCTGAAAGCACTTAAAAACCGTATGGCAAGGAGGGTGCAGCATTCTATGGGCACATTTGTTAAATGTGGAATAGGTCGTGCCCAAGAATTAGGCAAGCGAAGAACCAAAATATTAAGATCCCAAGAATTGCTTGTCTGACAGTTTTAATGAATGGTTCAGAGAACGCATTTTTGATGTGGGTTCTCAACCTTTCAACAAACTATCTAATCTGACACTAAATCTGACTTTAAAAATTCGGCTTTTGAATTTCACATTACCTGATAATACTAGATACCATTCTCAACGAAAATCCCCATCCAAGCACAGCTGGGTCTGCGCAGTCGTTTTTTACTAAAGTACCAGTTAAAACCTTCAAATAGGCTTTTCACTACCATCTCCATGAATAACAGAAAAATTAACGCAGATACGACCCCTGGCCCCTCTTTTGAAGGTAATTTTTCTATTTTTTTCAATGACAGCGTTCAATACAAATTTCACCCTCATTCCTATCATAACAAAGTGGAACACACAGCTTAATTATCATTTACTCCCACACCCCCCCATTTCTAGCTTCAACACAATGCCACAATTTTTCCAAGAGTATCCCCCCCTTCTGGTATCATAAACCATTCACCAGAACGCCATCCGGCTACAATTACCACCACCACAGTCTGGTATCATCTACCACCAACTACCACAATCGTAACATCTCTGACATACATCCTTTACTCAGGATTCAAATCCTTATTAGTGTATCTAGGATGATTTCATTGTCCTCATAAAGTTGAATCTTCACCTCAACCTTCACTCACTCTTCATCTTTCACTCTTCATTCTTCATCTTTCACTCTTCATTCTTCATCTTTCACTCACTCTTCATCTTTCATTCACTCTTCATCCTTTATT